AGCAATTATTCGTAGTATATATAGTCATAAGAATAACAACAGTCTCTCTTAAACGATAGAAAATCAACCCCGAACGCAACCAATGCCCTCCGCCAAGATAATACATATCTTCCACGTACTGGTAGATGGATATAGAGCCTTCACTGCACCGCGCGCGTGAAAAGCAGAGACGGCAGGTTAGTTTCCGGGGTTAGAGTGCTAGGGAGTATGAGTATCATTGATTCCAGGGTGGAGTTTCAGGTTTAGCAGATCAAAAGTATGCAGATGCGGGTTAAATTTGTTAATGGCCGTGATGAGAAGATTCGATTCATATACAAAATGTAATATTATATACCTCTGAAGAAAACCAAAAGAGAACATTGGTATCAAAACCCTCGCAACGCCGGGGAATGCTCAAATCAAACTTTTAGGAGGAGATGATCATTTGCCACATAAGATGGACAGATATATGAATATAAAACAAGAGAAAAGGAGAAAGTAAAAAAAAAAAGATGCAGTAGACAAATTTTAGTAAGCCGTTCATTGCCTTGAGTTGTTGTGCTCGTAGTTGAACGGCGTGGGGAAGTGCATGCTAGCGCTTAACCCGAATGGATCTGTGTCCAGCATCGGCTCGTATTGACCGAGGAGCTGATTTGCATTGCCGAAATCGTTGGTGCCCTCGCCTGATGGTTGGTTGAAACCGGACATATTGTGGGAGCCCGAAGCGACGGATTGTGGGGTGAATCCAGGGACATATGATGCTGAGCCGTCGTGCTCTTCATCGACCATATCGGCCTGGGCATCGTACTCTTGTTCTGCTTGAGAGGTCAGCTGGAGGAAGAACGTATGAACAAAGCCAAAGACACGCTTACCGAGCTGATCGTAGTGTTTCTGGAATGGAGAGGGATAGTAAGCAGCCGCTGCGACCCGCGCACCACGAGGACCCATGGCTCCACCACGGGATTGGGGTTTGGAATCTGACGGCTCGGTCTGGGGCATGCTGATTGCCGGCGGCGAAGTTTGACTGAAGGTTCGGGGTTGGGGGAGGAGTTGCGGCCGTCCGGCCTCCACAGGTGACATGGCGCCCTGGAAGCCGAATCCGGGAGACTTGACGTGCGACGGTGAGGAAACGTGGGAGGTCGGGGTTGCTTGGAACTGGGGCGACGGGATGCCGTATGCGCCTTCCCGCTGCGACATGCCGAACGTCTCGGGCTTCGAGGCGATGCCTGCGGGGTGCCGTTGGTTCGAGCGGGCGCCTACCGCGCTAGGCGCTGACTTTGGAGCCATAGGGTTTGCCTTGGGAGGAGCGCCCGGCGCCCCTGTTTTCAAGCGTAGTTCGGCCTGTACATCGATGCCTGTTTGAGGGTTGGGGATTAGTTGAGGTTTGGACCAGAGGTTCGGGTAGCGACCTTACCTTTTTCAAGGAGGATCCGTTCCAGCAGGGAGTTCTTATATCGCAGCATTAGACATTCATCGGCGGCGCTGCGATGACTCTGCTGCAGACTCTGTAGAGATTCCTCATTGCGCTTGATAGTAGTCTCTAGCTGGCGGATGTACTCCGTCCTGCGTTCTCGAAAGGCCGCCTGGGCCTGTCTGTTGCGCTGCTTTCGTTCTTCGGAGGTGGCATATATCTGAACGGGTTAGTATACAATGCAACCTTGGGAAAGATAACGACATAGGACAGTGACACAAAGGAATTGCGGGGCCCCAGATTTGCAAAGGTGTTACGTACAGGTTTCCTGCCTCCTTTCCGCTTCTGAGTCTGGGCGGCGTCCTGAGTCAAGGGTTCGGCTTCTGGATCTGGCGTTGACACGGTGGAACTGATGGAACCATCAGGACCAGGTTCATGTTTAGGCACGATTGAGTCCATGGCCATATCAGTATGGTCAACCATCGAGACCATTATATAATCTAATTCAATAATTCAAGCCTGTAGGCGGCCCTCCGCACACGGAACAGACACAGCCAGTTTTCCCCGCGTTGCCGGACCTGCTGGCCGGCAAAAAAACAGAAGGAAAAAAAGAAAAAAAAAGGAAAAAAAAAGAAAAAAGGAAAAAAGGATAAAAAGGATAAAAGGAGATAGACACACGCGCGCGGCTAAGTTGGAAGGGACGTGCGAGATAGAGGGAGTTCAAGTTGTGACATAAAAGAAAAGCGAATTATGAGAAAGAAAGAGTCAGAGGAATTGAGATAAAAGAGAAAGAAAAAAATACGTGTAAAACCATTGACTAAAAAAAAAAAAAAAAGAAAAAGTCTGCCCGGTCAGGAGGGGCTCGCGTACCTGCCCAGCTTGAACTCTTTTGACTTTTTATTTTTCTCTTTTCTTCCCCTTTTTGCTTTTCTTCTTTTTCTTTTTCTAACTGCTTTTGGTTGGTTCTTCGGGTTCCACGTTTAAGTTGAATGACCTTATCCTTTTTGAGAATCCACAAGGACTTGTGGGGGTCCCTGTTTCAGAATGTTCGTTATATAATGTTGAGAGGCTATATAGTACCATGTACAACTTCAAATAACCAATAACCTATAACTTGTAACTTGTAACTTGTAACTTGTAACTTGTAACTTGCAAAATGCAAATGCAAAGAGCTGAAAAGTATTCCGCGGAGAAGATGTCATGCACAAAGCCGTATAGCCGATACCGGCCACCTAACAGATCATCCCATTTTTGCCCAGATGGACCCTACAGGTATTGACCATTATTGGATCTTCGGCGCCCTCCGCCCTATTCTGATACCACATGACCCCATAGCCCTGACCCATTGGGGCACCTAGAAGCGAATCACGCGCCACTGTCGACGGCCCCCTCGGAGACAATGAAGGATCATCGTGGGATGACGCTCCTTCCCCGGACTTACAAGGAATGCATTGCAGATTCAGATTTTTCACGCATGGAACAACCTGGCTGGGATTATGCGGGGGGGGATATGCCAAGAATCCAATGATCACACTTCATCTGGTCTGGACTTATGATCTCATCCTGGTGTTGTGCGGAGTAGGTTGTTTGCCCGGTGAACGATTTGGAGCTAGATCTTATGTGTTTGGACTTGCAGGATCTCATCAGGAGAGGTCGGTACTTTTGTACCCCTTTGGGGGTTGCATCAGCCAACTCAATCTCGATTTAGACACCGTGCCCGTGGGGGCGAATTTGTATAGCCTCCTATTGACTTTTACTTTAGATATAATCAACATCTTCATTTTATCTTCATTTTGTCCTCACTTCTATACATTATCATATATAGTCCTATACATATTATAGTAACTACTATGTAGTTCCTACCACCTAGACCTAGGCAAAAAATGTAAACCCTCGGCGATCGGCATTTCCCCCCGCCAAAACATCCGTCACATGTCAACATCCTCTCCAGACTTTCTTTTTCCCTGGAAAAGATTAAGCTTCATCCCGACCGCGCGGTATTTTCAATTGAGAATCAGACTTGCTTATTCTTGTCGCGCAATATGGCTACCCTCTTGCCCACCGAGGAGCGCCACGAAGAGGCACCCACAGTAACCGCACCAACTACACAGGAATCTCAGCCGCCAAACACCGACACCGCGCCAGCACCAGAACCAGCACCAGCACAGTCGCAGAAAGCAGCTGCAGATGATGACGACTCAGACTCAGACTTCGATGAGCTAGATGGTAACACATACCCGCCTTTCTTCCTTACCCCTCCCCCTACCCCTCACACCCCTCCACGCGGAATGATTCACACTCACACCTACAGACGTCCTCGACGACTTCAACAAACCCAAACCCGCCCCTCCTGCAAACCCACCCGCACCCTCCACTACAAACCCTGATCCCTCAACTGGAGTTGCACCCCCAGACTTCGACGAAGATGCCTTCCTTAAGCAACTCGAACAAGATATGGCGAACATGATGGGACCAGGTGGAGGTGCCAGTAGCAGCTCAGACCCCAATTTCCAAGCGACGGTCGACCAAGGCGCCGACGTATTTGCGAAACAGCTTGAAGAGAGCGGGATCCCGCCAGGCGATTTCCTTAAACAGCTGCTCGCCGACGTGATGGCCGAAGAGGGCGGTTCCGGAGCCGGAGCTTCGGCAGAGAATCTCGCTGCAGCTGCTGCTGCGGCCGGCATCTCGGCTCCTAGCACTCAGGGTTCCTCCAGTACGCCAGCTGCAGGCGCAGAGCAACCGGCCGATTCGTTCAACGACGCCATCAAGCGCACAATGGGTCGCATGAAAGAAAGCGGTGATAAAGCTACCGCAGCAGCAAGTAATGAAGACGATATCTCGGAGGATATGCTGGCGCAGTTGCTTAAGGCTGTTGAGGCAGGGGCATCTGGTGCTGGTGAAGATGGGGACCTCTCAAAGATGTTCATGGGTATGATGGAGCAGCTGTCTAATAAGGAGATGCTGTATGAGCCGATGAAGGAGTTGGATGTCAAGTTCGGCCCGTGGATTGAGAAGAATAAGGGCGGTGGCAAGGTTTCGGCTGAGGATATGGAGCGGTTCGAGACGCAGGCGAGGGTTGTTAAACAGATTGTGGGGAAGTTCGAGGAGAAGGAATTCTCGGATGATGATCCCAAGTGTCGAGAGTATGTGTGGGAGAGGATGCAGGAGGTGAGTTGCTACTTTTGCATTTGGATCGAGAGATCTTGCTTTGAGGTTCGTTTACTGACTATGTCTCCAGATGCAAGCGGCTGGAAGCCCGCCCGAGGAACTCGTTTCGAATCCCCTCATGGAAGACCTTGGAGGCGCGGCGGCTGGAGCAGGCGGAGTGCCTGATTGCCCGCAGCAGTGATATGATCCTGAAACTGTATGATTGAAGCTTGAAAGGAAGAGATAACCTTGATACCGAGGCTTGCTTGTTCCTCTTATCACTCATACACTGTCCGTCTCTGTATTGTACATATGCGCAGCCCGTGTCCATATACCCTTCTTTACCTGATGTATATATCCAGATTCCCATCTCGCCCAACCCAAATGGATTCAAAAACGCCAACCCAATGCAATGCCTCGTAGAAAAAAAAAATTAAACACTCAACCCGTGGGGCTAGCCTGCTCACGACATATCCATATCCTGAGATTCATACTGATTCCCCTGAGGCTCTGACAGTCCCATGAAGATATCATCATATTCATCATCACTGAAGAGAACACCGGGCTCATTAGACCGTAAATCTCCAACCCTCGCAGGAACCCCAGTCTGTGTCTCCCTAAGAGCCATCTCCATGGCCTCCTCCTGGGATATAAATTCATCAAGGGCATCGGCATCATCTACCAAACCCCAAAGTCAGCAATCCATGTCCATTCAATCTTCAATCCACACGGGTATCCACAACCTAACCCAAAGGAATCAAAAACCAACATACCAGGAAGCATATCATCCTCATCCCCCTCAAACCCTCCAACAACCCCTTCTCCATCCCGTGCCATACTCTCCTCCCACCGTCTCCGATCAGCAAGATGCTCCATCCGCATCATCTGCTCACCGCGCGCCTCAAATCGTCCATCGTCACGCTCATGACGTACGCGATTGAGAAACATCTTACGCGTTTTGGAGCGCGCTAGACCTGCCGCGCCTTGAAGTGGGTTCGCGATCGTTGAAGCGTAGCGCGCTTCGTATTTTGGCTTTTGGCGGGTTGGTGAGGAGGGCGAGGCGGGAGTTTGTGGCTGGATGAAGAAGGGATTTGAGAAGTTTGGGGTTGTTGACGCCGAGGCGGACGCGTTGAATTGCATCGGGATCGGGGAATGGTGGTTGTGTGTGTGTCGGGTGATTGGTTCAGTTTGTATGTTGAAGATCGGTGGCGGGTTACTGAATGGATTCGGTGTGCTTTGCGACGCGCTTATGCTACGCGTTGGGGACATGTTCCATAGGGGTGGAGTCGTCGTGTGTTTGCTCAGTGGGGAGGGACGCGTTGGGGAGTAGTGGGTTTTGCGAAAGGGAGTTTGGGGGGATTGTGTTGCGAACATTGTGAAGTGGATGGTTATGGAGGTGATGGCGGGTTTGGCGTATCCGTGGTTCGGATGCGGAAGTCGGTTACGTCAGTCTTGGGTTTGGGTTCTTTCCGGGGTTCTTTCAGGGCTATGATGTATGTAGGTATGTTGTATTAAGAGTGAATAAGGTGGTTCTTACTCTGTAGATGTCTGATGGAGAGATAACGTCCTTGATGAGACAGTCGCGCTAATTTAGCGCGTTCTACCTCCTTGCATTGTAAGTGGCTCGGAGTACTGGTAGTATAGTATCATGGTTTTATTTGGATACATACTGATACTCCAACATCCAATTGATCACATCACTTAGTACTCTTTCCAATTTGCCTATTCAAAACAATCCATCCAATATAATATTTACAGCAATGCAAAGATTCCAGCTAGTACCGCAATGCCAGCAGCAAACCCGCTTGCCCTAATAGCCACCGCAGTATTGTCACTCCCTTTTTCATCATCACTGGGATCATCTTCAGTGACAACTTTCAGACATGTCAACTGAGAAGCGGTTTGGTTGACAAGACTGCTGTTGCCCTTCCTAGCGAACACAGTGAGAACCGGTGTAATCTTATAGGCCTCGTCAAGGAGAGCCTGTGCCGAATAGTTCTTCTACGGAGTGTACATTAACGACTGTTTATGTTAAAAATGAACGAAAACCCACTTACCAGAGTAGTGAAATTCGCTATCTCCGCCAACTGATCAGACTTGGGCTGAATCGGCCAACAGCCTGAGGAATTCTTAACCCCATTGAGACCATCGAGCGACTTAACAGTGAAATTCCCAAGGTTGCTACCTTTACCTGCAAATCCATTGCATTCATGGAGAGAAGTCGTCTTCAATTCTCTCTCAAGCATTGTGCAGATATTTCCATTAGCCTCTTCGGCTAATTCCATTGCCTTCTCCGTAAGCTTTTCGATGCATGTCTTGTCAATGACATCGGAACAGGTACCGCGCGCAGCGCGGACATCATTTCCATTGTAAATGCCCTCTAGGTCTGGCCCGTCGAATTTCTTGAACGGGGCGTCGTGAAATAGGATAACACAGCCAGACAAGTTCTTGATTTCTACGTCCGAGGGTGTACCGAGGTAGTAGAATGACTTGAAAGGGCGTGTGGCCTTATCATTATCTTTTCCAGCCAGTGAAACAGACACATTTACACCTTTTATGAGAGAAAAACCCTCAAGAGACGAGGGAACGTCGGGGATGCGGGATAGTCCGATTCCAAGGAAGGTATTGTCTCCCACTATACAGCGGTCATTCGGACCGTCTTTGGGGCATGAGACCTCATTGCAGCCTACAAGGCTGGAGGAGAGTTCTCCATTCTCAGTTAGGGTGGAGGAAACGAATAAAGAAAGGGCAAGGACGAGTGTGGATGGTTTGAGCTGGATCATTCTTTTTGTTGTATAAAAGTGAGCAGGATATGATTTTACGACATTGGGGGACAAGTTTGATCTTAGAGAAACTTCTGAATCCACACCAGTTAGAGGGCTTCGTTATACACTTTCTTTATATCAACTTATAACTTATGCCCTTTCAAGTGAGCATAAGTTCACAGTTAGGCACCTCAGTGACATCATTTTTGATGGTTTACTTTGTGCATGCTTGGCTTATTGGGGGCGTTTCCTCGTAGAGGCTCCAACTTATAATTTGACTGCTTGGCTAGTTGGGGGCGATGATTCTAAGAGGCCATCTCATATTGCGGTTTAGGCGGATTTCTTGGCAGCTGAGGCGCTGGTCTCTTGGCGCTCTCTTGAGGCCCTCAATAAAACTTGGAAATACCTCATGGCAGGGCTGATCGCGGGGAAGAGGTAGTGCGATGTATGGACTCCATGGGGATAGATTCATACTATATACAGAGTTTGCCTGGATGGTCCAGGTACACATTCATATGATGTAGATAGTCGATCTCAAACTAAATAGGAAGTTCTCACCAGCTTTGCTTCTTGGTCCAAGCCATTTCTCGGCTGATAGGGCTAGTAAGCTAGCTTTACATTGCCCCCGATTAGTAGTGACCTTCCTGATACATCCATGGGACCTGATTTCACCAATACTAGAGAGCCTGCCTTCTGTAACATGGGTGCAGGGTCCTCTACGCTCTACATCGAGGGTAAACAGACGGACTGCTTTGACTTTGACTCCCAGATCGTTCTCATTAGTACAGCGACACGTGCTGCTACTGGGGATACTAGTAGCCATGTAAGCGTTCGGGATTGGCGCTTAGCCAGCACAGAATAGGTTCATGCTATATCTGTTGTGAGGCCAGTTATGATGACATATATGTGCGACATTTACCTTGGGTTGATAATATGATAATTTGTTTCTTTATATCTTATTCTTTGTCTTTGCTCCTATCTCCCATTTCCACGTTGACGGCGTCTTCTGGTTTCTCTCTAATGATATCTGATCTGTATAGTCTTCTAAGCGTCCAACTCAGTATTTTTGTACGGTACAACTCCCATATTAAGTCCAAGAAGCTTTCAATCCTCTTGAAATTTAACTCTTGTCAAATAAGCAAGTATTAGTTTGGACCAGGATCTAATCTACTAAATCCAGTCAATCATAGAACGCTTAATTGGTCTGAACTCCTTGATATACGTATGAGCTACTTAGCTATGGATATCCTGACGCCGGGACTACCATTTAGCACGAACTTAGAGCTCGCAAATGCATATACAAGATAAGGTGACATGACTCTTAGTGGATGAAGAACATTCGATATTGTCTAGGCCATTTTATAGGCCTATATATTATTGTGATATGAGCCCGGTACAGACCTAAAACAAAGCCATATCATCTAAAAAATCTATACGAAATCTATACAAAGAATCAAGTTGATTAAAAACACTATACTCCATCTCTAAGGGCTGGAATATATCACGTGTGGATCCGGATCGACATCGGATGTCGATCTTAGTCTAGATCGATGTACCATAGTTTGCTCGCATATAACGTTTGAATACTGTGGATCGTTTTGCTGATTGGATTCATTTGCCTTGTATTACATACATACAGATCAGAACAGATCAAGATAAAAGGTACCTTTGCAGCACGCATCTATCAACACTATACAATCTGTGACGTCTGATGCTGCAAAAGGTAAAAGAATAGAACATTGGTCAAGGCACAATGGAGTTCGCCACAGGAGAACACTAAGCGCTTAGATACGGGGAATCAAAGATAGATAACAGGCATAACAGAGAAGTGGTACCGCAATTTTTGTCAGTCGCGCAGGGATCGAGAGTCGCGATCACGAAAAAAATGAATGTGGTGGTTGCCGAAGAAAAAACGCTCAAATGAATGCACAGGTATTCAATCTATAATGAACGGAGAGGGTGGGGGTGAAAACACCCGAAAAGGAAAAAAGCAATTTTGCAACCGAAGAAAAACGCAACTGTGAGCTCGCATACCCTGTCCATAGCGCCTGAGAAAAGCATGAAGATCGTACAAGATTTACACTTCGACTAGTGTCGAGTCAACGCAGTACACTTAGAAGTTAGATGCCGCGTTGACAGGACCAGGGTTGTGATACTGGTCTAGTGTGTTCTTGAAGGGGGTGTTGCCAGACGGGCTGGGAGCCTTCTCGCGAGGACCGGAGCCAACAGCAGTGCCGCCCATCAGATCGTCCTCATCACCGTATTGCTCGCTGCGCTTTTTCTGGATTCTCCAAAAGACCAAGCCCAGGGCACCGATAATGATGGCACCGCCGACACCCACCACGACACCGATGATGATCTTCTTGTCCGAAGAAGACACACCGCTAGAGCCGGAGCTCTTGTCGCCATTAAGAGAAGGGGAGCCGGTTCCGGCAACGGGGGTGGAGGTGGTGGTCATCACATTGGCGATGGTGGATCCATCACTGGTCGCGTATGAGGTAATGGTCTTCGTGACCGGGGTCTGGGTGGTAGTGGTGCTCTGGGACGAAGTGGTGCTGTCGCTACCGGCACTTGTCGCGGAGGTGGGCTCAGCGTTGGAAGTGGTTGAAGCAACGGTGGGCTCCGGGGTGGAGGAAGGCTCTGCTGAGGTGGTAGGCGCGGTGGTAGAATCGGTGGTGGTAGGTGCGGTGGTAGAATCGGTGGTGGTAGGCGCGGTGGTAGTAGACTCGGATGTGGTAGTTGATTGTGTAGAAGTCTCTTGAGGGGTTGTGGAGGAGGATGAAGTCGTCGATGTGGTTTCAGGCGCTTCGGAAGTGGAGGACGAAGTGGTCTGAGTTGGGAGATCCGACAAGATGTTGGAGACACCAGCACTCTGAGCTGCGACCGCAGTCAACAGCAGAGCCTGGATGAATAGCGAGAGGCTGGAGAGACGCATGGTTGGGATAACGAACGTTGAGTACAAGAGTAACGAAAGAATTTGACCCGAAGTCAAGAGATGTGATAAAGAATAAGCAAGGGAAATGAAAAAGGAGTCAAAGCGAAATGGCGAACCTTGGGCAGTGTTGTTTGTCCCGAACTTTGGAAACCACTAGTCCTAATTAGGTCACACTAGTCTCAGATTAAATCCACGCGCCGAGGTATATGCCGCTCTGATTGGCTAGTGGTTCAATAGAAAAACACGTTAGACTGGGTCACCTGGACGTTTGACCCAATTGGGCTTACAAATTGTTTTATTTTAGGATTTAAGTTTGGGGTTTTTTTTAATTCTGTAAATGTTCAAGTCGAATAAATAGAATGGGAGATACGGAGTAGAAAGGGACGCCTTATACAGAATGTAGTCAGTTAATGGGTGAGTCTTATATAACCCTGGAGATCAAAAGAGAGGAAAAACTCTGAACATGTGGGCTGAACATGTGTGACGAGGTACCCCTCGCTTCCGGCTCCATATTTAGCACATCGCCTATGATCTGCCTCTGATCTTCCATCATTGGCATGGACACAAAGCCGCCGTATGACATCTTGCATGAATACTACCCAGCTGTTACCACAAGTCGCCTAATGAATGGCTGGCATCTGCTCACAAAATACTAGTCTGCAGGGATTTCTGTGTTGTGTCATGTAGCACTAATCCCTCGGGTACCTGGATGCGCCCCCCTTTTGACTCCTAGTTTCATAAAGAAGCCGACACAGCCGGAGTTGACCTAAAATTCGGATTCTTTCGACCTTAGCCCCAATTGGACCATGTGGCGTACCGCTGACAGCCTGCATTTCGGGTTTCCCGCCTTTTCTGGAACCTTGGGGTCCGCTTACCTGTCCAAGAAGACTTCGGGAAGACCTTGAGAAGATTCGATATAGACCTCTCCTCGATACTTTTCTCTTTTAGTCTTGCCCTTCGCTGATTCTTTTCTAGAATTTCACGTCTCCCGGAAACTTTCCTAGCATATGAGTGGCTTTTTTTTTAATCCCCGTTCTGACAGGCATCAATAGACCGGTCAATCTCAACGTCACGCATCCACTGCAAAGATATGAGGTGAATGTACGGGGTACAGTGAAATTAGTTCGAAGTATTACCATTTATGACTACTGGTACCTACGGGACGAATTTTTCCCTTATTTCACGGTACAACCAGAGCGTCCCTTATATCTGTCACATCCGTCACATCCGTCCACATCTTCTCCACATCTATGTAACTCTAATGTTAATAGTGAAATAGAGTATGACTTTTACTATGTGTTGAGTTAGCGAGATAACAGTTCGGCCTTTGACAAGGACATTTGGAAATCACGAGATTGATCAGATATCCAACATTATCTCTGTGAGAGTAGCAAAAGCCACGGCCAATTCGCTATGCCTGGGACCTATCAAACAGTTTAGATGCTAAGCAGTTCCTTCAGTTGGTATATAAAGAGGAGGCGCGGTCGATAAGAGGCCGTCTGATGTTCCTATTTTGAAGTATCGACAGCAAAGGGGTTAACACAATGGAAGCGGAGCGTCTACTTTTAGAATATCTCTTATAACACTGTATAAGAAGGTTTAGCAGAGACCTTATATTTGGATCTTGCTTTGTGGCCAAGACAAGTGGAAGCTTTGATTACTCGCAGAAGGTGACAGAGGGCAAATCTCCCATAATAGCCATTCAATGAGGTAGAAATAAGGGACTTTGTTTGTTTCGAGGCCAATGACTTCTTTATTTCATTTTCCCAGGAATAGAGTACCTCGTCCTTTGTTCGTCCTTTTCGCTCCTGAGTAGCTCTGAATATAAATATATTCATCTTCCTGTCTAGCATTTCAACTTAACTTCAACAATAAACTTGCATACAACGTTCATAATACCCAGTTCCATTCAGCATATCTATAGCATATTCAGCGTTCCTCATTCAGCATCCAGCGCTTTCAGCATATTCAAAATTTAACATATGCTATCCGAGTCCATTCCACACCCAGTTACCCGATCAACCCTTTGACAACCAAATTCAACCACCGCAGGCCTTACAAAAGAAAACATGGCCGAGACACGCTCTTCCCCCGAGGTCATCACAGCCTCGCTTCCCGCCCTCGAGGTTCAATGCGAAAAGAAATTCAAGTGTTATGATGTCTCAAATTTTACACATATTGTCGTCCAGTAAGTACCATTCCAAATAATGTGCATTCAACCCAAGTTTGTGACGAATACTAACGTGAACTAGTCTGTCTGATATGGCAATCAGGAACCTCAAGAACATCACGAATTCCAATGCTGATCCCCCGTGTGAGTTCGACAACGAAGATTATTTGGATATCATTGGAAAGATGCTATCCGTAACGTTCTTCGGCAATGAAAACCAGCTGGAATGGCTAGACACTGAGCGCGTTGGTAGACGCAAGTTCGTTGCATTCACTAACATCGAAAAGAAAGAGAAGCGGGCTCAGAGTCAGAGCCCTGGTCACGGAAAGTTGCAGGTGGTCGAGGTTATGTTCATGCGGACCAGCCCCCGGGATACACAGAAGATCTTTTGGAGGCCCGCCAGAGCAACGGTCCTCCAACGTGTTCAGATTAGAATGTATGATCTGGTTGAGATGGTCCGGGTGCGAGTTATGAGAACCCGATCGAATGTGGTTCCTCGGAGGAAGGGTTCGGCTTCAGCATGATCGGTTGCTTTGGTATTTGGGAGTCAGGTTAGACTAGTAAAAATGGTTCGAAGTGATAGAGCGTATCGCAATTGTACTCTTTTTGTTCGTTACTCTGCGGGTTAATGATCTGCATAGCGGTTTTTGTCCTGCAGGATGGTAAAGTTAGACGGGTCCCAACGATTCAGAGTAAATTGATATCAAATCCGAAATAATAAATCAATATTTATAACTACAATATCTGTCCGCGTGCTATTCAATAAGACACAAAATGTCTCCAACTGCCGATCATTGGTGCAAAAATGAAGCTAGATACTTTCATGCCGGGGATGTTTTGGAGGCATCGCGTTAGACTGCGCAGTTGGACCACTCAGGAAATTTCCCGAGTGACATTACCTATCTGAGAGGTACTACCTGAATAGGCTGGCTTAATAGATAGAGAACTTCCAGGGGTTACCCCCTGTTTTGTTTTCCCAGCTTTGGAAACAATCTCGAAACTCAATATATATGCCCCATTTATTGAATCCCAGCCTGACTGTTTATATAAACAGCTGGGAATAGTAGAAGGGGCAAGTCAATGATTCAAAGTTCACTCTCCGGATGAAACAAGGGACGCATTCCAGGGAGTGCGATAGTGCATCCCACTGTATACCCAGTGCCGACATAAGCGCCACAAATGATGATAAGCAATAGTCCAGGTTCGCGAAAGGGGGGGGGGAAAGCATATACTATGTGTCATATTCAATATGGGTATCATCAGTTTCCTTATCAAAACAAGCGCCAGGGTATTAAAATTTGTTCCGCGGGTTTCCTTTCATCTGGTCCTTCAGCTCTTCCTTGAAATGGTCAAGGAATTTCCTGTACTGAAAATCTAACCAGAATAGGTCAGAAACAATATGCCACCGAATATTGGTACCAAGCATACCTTGTCCCTCAAGTTTGGTACCTCCCTGTTCCTCCGGAGGCACCCCGTATCTGATATGTTGAACTTTCTGGTGAACTCGGCCCACCATACGATGGAAGATCGGACTTCGAAGGAGCTGCGTAGATGTTATTAGAATGCAAGCGCAAGCACAAACATATCATTGTTGGAGCAACGTACTCGAACGGTGAGCCAGACCTGAGGAACAATGTTAGTGAAGATCGGAGTGGCGAACGCAAAAGCACTAACCTCCATACTTCGGAGCAAGAGATGCAGAACCATCTTGCAGTTGTTCTAATATTCGACCATGGGATTCCAAGTGCTGATATGGAAGAGCAAGTCGAAGGTTAAGGAAGAAACCTGGACTGTCCTGGTCTCGATCATCTGAAGATGTTCTTAGTCATCCTCCCCGCGGGCCCCGCGAAGCTTTCCTGAATCATCCCGAGAACGGGGGAGCATGACGGATTTTGAACTGGGTTTTGTGATATTTCTCGACGGAGTCACTTCTTAAACGACTAGAAATGGTCGTGTGGCTTTGTCAACATCTTGTCTCCGAATCCTGACCATAACCGATGATGGCGAGTGGCGCTGAACAAACTTCACAAGTGGCTCAGTTATTCGCTATCCAGTTAAGAAACTACGTTTCTCTCACAACGCCCAGAGAATGACCAAAGGCTGTTATACCTGCCGACGACGTCGCATAACATGCGACAATGGCCAACCCACCTGTCGGAAGTGTCGAGATGCGGGGAAAGAATGTTTGGGGTACCAGAAACCACTTGTTTGGGTCAAGGGTGGAGTGGCTAGTCGAGGCAAGATGATGGGCCGCAGCTTTGATGATGTGGAAGGACCGCCTAGCAAGCCAAAGCGCCAGCCGGCTACCGGGACGTATGATTCGACTCTGGCGAGCAGCGGATTCAACTTTTTCTCTATTGCCGAATCCTCGTCCGATGCCGAATCGCACAGCTCTGGGAATCAACCTAGTCCGGAGACCGATGGATGGTTTTTTGAGGCGGAAAACCCAACATTTGGGGGAGAAATTGCGCAGTTGGGGGTCAATTCAGCCGAGAAACAGGACACCGCAGTCGTTCATGTACCTCGAAGTACTCCTGCCGACTATACCCCAACACCATGGGGGTTGGTAGATCCACTCCTCAAAGATCTTAGCCAGTTCTCAAGGTACTATGTACATCACTGTGAGACTTCCTGAATGCATTATCCGTGGCTCCGCTGACAATTACTCGTAAGACAATCAATATATGGTTAACGACTTCGCCCTTTACTCCCAACACAAAAATCCATTCCGAGATCTTACTGCGCTAGTCAATCATTCTCCCGTTCTCGCTAGCAGCATCGCTGCTCTTGGGGCTCTCCATTGCTCTCTTGTATCAGAATCGGACTCATCTGTCCTACCATGGTCATCAGGCAATCTCTCGATGTCAGCAGAGGAGATTGAAGATATTGTTGCACCGGCAAGTTCTCGAAAACCCACTTCGCAGGCATATCATCATTTCTTGGAGTACAAACAGCGCGCCCTTCGCCAATTGTCTATGGATCTCCATAACCCGACGATGCAACAGGACGGCAGGACTTTAGCTGCCATCGTCTTGCTTGCCTTCTTAGACATATTTGAGTCCGGCAGCGGGGCCTGGAGTTATCATATCGAGGGCGCAAAGAAGCTTCTCAAGGACCGGCCTGAAAATGGACCGGGACAAAGAATACTCGACGACCTGGACGCGTTTGCCCTTGACGGCTGTTTAATGTATGATTCGAGTCTCTGCTTATAACGAAAGGTTGTTGCTGACCATACAGAATGGAAATCATGGGATCAACTCTCGCTCGCCCAGGCGCACTCTCGAAGCCCTTCTACTCCTCATCCATGGGCCCAGAGATCCTCAAACGTCTCGAAGAAAATTCTTGGGTCGGATGTCCCGCCTATCTCCTAGAAGTAATTTTCTTCATCCACGCCCTCTGGTACCCGGACTCCGAAGTCGCCACCATAACACCCCAACCAACAGCGCTGCCAACCCCAATCCAACCCGGCCAACCCCTGACTCTAGACTCATTCGCAACCCTCCTCCAGGGAATCCGCAACTTCGACCCAATAGCCTGGAGCCAAGAAATGCAAAACGTCTTTTTCATCCCGAACCTAACCTACCGTCTCGCACTCGCAACCTCCTACCAAGACGCCGTCTACCTCTATACAAGCCGCGTCCTCTCACGCGCCAGAGAAGGCTTCTCACCTCCCTGGACAGACGTCGGTCTCCCGTTCGATCACCGACTCATCGCCACAAACCTCATAACGCAAATCTGCCTCATCCCCAATTCGGACCCCCACTTCAAATGCCTCATCTGGCCCACCTTCATCGCTGGCGCGGAATGTCGTCCTTCGCAGCGGGGTCTTATTCTTGAAAAACTCTGCTCGCTCTATGAGGCCCTGACGAGTGTTAATGTCCGCAATGCTGCATGGGTTCTGCGTCTCATGTGGCAGAAACAGGATCTCAAGCGCCGTGAGCGTCAGAGTGTTTCCGATGAGCAGGGCTACGATAATAATGATGACGATCTTGAGTTTGACTGGATCGAGGAGCTGGATCATACGCGCCTCGACTGGTTGTTCATTTAATTTGGGGGAAACAATGGAGATATATGGATGTTCACCCTGGACGGCTCTCCCGCCTTTACGACTAATGTCTACTTGTATCTACCTACCTATATATACCTCACTTAGTACATTATTCAAGATCACTTTTCTTGGGAGACGCAGTATTTCATTATGAATCTCAAGATATATTAAGATTGCAGGGACACGGTAGAATAATGATGTGTGAATAGGAAAACCGGGTATATCATTTCTTCACCTAGGGCAGAAGAAGAGCAAGAAAAACGAAAAGAGACGAGACGAAAGTGTATACCAAGATGAGAGGCAAGTGATGGAATTCCAAGAGGAATGAAGCGAGTAAAAGAAAACCACAATGAAAATGAGGTTGGACCAAGATGCCACTACAAGGAAGCAGGGAAGTCGAGGAAGACAATAGATGCAATGAGAAAGATGATGATATCGAAGTAAGGAAAGTATTCTTTTGTCCGAAATTTGCCCTAAAAGACGTAAGGAGATATAAGAGAAAGAGGAGGGAAATGAGGACGCGGGAGTATAGTGCTTGATTTCATATCTTTCAAGGATAATGAACACGAAGCAGGCTCAATAAATCCTGATGACTTACCAGGAACAGGGACCTCAGGAACAAAGTGAAAAGAGTCGAACGGAAAAAGTCTCGATGTTGTGATGCTTCAGACCAAATCAGGGATATATAACAGCGGACGACATAGTAAAGGACAAGAAGGAAAATCGGTATTCTGAAATAGGCAGTCAGGCAATGAAAGAACAAAGTATGCGCTCCCTTCCAAATCTAAATGCAAGAAACATGTTTCCCCAAGAACACGAACAAACAGAAGAACACGCTTGTCACTGGAATATGCAAAAGGTAGGATAACCGATATGTTGGGATGACATCCCATCTTTGTAAGAATGCCCGCGCATGGGAAAAAAAAAAAAAAAAAATAGAAGAAAAAAGAGAGCGGGGGAGACAGATGGACGCGGTCCGTATTCAAACGATGAGATGACGAGGTGCGAGGTAAGGCAGTAGGTAGTATAGGAAAGTCGGTTTGATACCAACAACTCCAAAAGGCAATTTAGCATGGGTGTATAGATGGATCGCAATATCCATAGTTCGTATTCGATGTCACTAGAACACCGCAGCAAGACCATTCTTCGAATGACGCTTGCTGAATCGTTTCCTTCCTTTCGTTGACTCAGTATCACCGGTTTGCTGTTTCACTAGGTGATTCCGACCCGATGACGGTGGACCTCTGTCATCTTTCTGCATGTCAGAGGAGCGATCCAGTGTATTGGCGGGACTAGGGAAACCAGAGGAAAGGTCGCGGAATGCATCGTCGGCGAAGCCAGCACTTTGTTGCTGTGATGCCATCTCGCGGGACCTGTCCAATGCGTCGAGCCATTCTTGTACTTGGACCGCTGTGGCGCCGATGTTGTTTGATGATGGCTTGGGATCTTCGAAAACGTAATGTTTCTCCCTCTGTGGGGTTTCGTTAGATGGGCCCCTTTGATTGATAAAAGGATGAACTACATACCGTGTCCACGATCCAGGATGAAATTCCTTTAGAATCCGTCGTACTTCTGTAGCTTGTCCCCGGAGCAAGCAGGGGAATCTCAAGCTTGATCTTTTTATCATCACCACCCGACGCGGCCAGAATGACCCGCCCGGATGATGTGACCATCACCAACCGCTGTCGTTTCTTTGTGGCGCTTCCTGAGAAGAAACGAGAGAACTTCCTAGGTGCCTCAAACTCGCCACTGCCGTTCTTGGACGGCGGGCTGTGTGAGGCAGCGGAAGACAGAACAACCAAATTACCCAATTTCAAAATCCGCTCGTTGGTTTTGCTTAGGACTGGCGACCATTCAATATCGAGCTGACTCGGCGGGGGCAGCTCGGTTACCACTCGTGGAAGGTGGCGGGAACTGGCATTGGGTGCGTTCATGGGGGCAGTGGAGATGACTGGAGGTTGACTCTCCCCATTTTTACCGTCATTGAGCTTGATGGGGTCCCGTGCGGGGGGTACATAGGCCTTCAAACGAGGTGCCTTCTGTTGCCATAGATCTGAGCCCCATATGATACCTTCAAAGAATTCATGATTTTTGATGTGTTCGATCTGAAGACGCCGAGCAGGCTCTAGGACGAGCAGACGTTCGACAAGATCACGCGCAACAGTAGGAAATCCAATTGGGAACTCGTAGTCGAGAGCCACAATTTTCTGGAAAGTCTGGTACTCGTTTCCAGCCTTGAACGGTGGACGGCCGGCCAAGAGCTGGTAGATGATGCAGCCAAAAGCCCAAAGATCACTGGCTTTGCATGCATTTTTGTCGGTCAATAGCTCGGGGCTGACGTACTCCGCAGTGCCGACAAAAGAGCTCGCCCGCTCTTCCTTTGTAAGCTCGGCCGAGTCAAGAGGAAGAATTCCATTTGAACTGGGATCAACTCGTGGAGTCTTGAGAATCTTTGCCGTCCCGAAATCAGTGATCTTGACATGCATCCCGCTGTCAAGTAAGACATTTTCCGGCTTCAGGTCTCGGTGGATGACGCCGCGCTTGTGCATATAGTCTATCGTGTCAAGAATCTGGGCGCTGTAAAATCTTGTACACTCTTCATCAAATGTGGTCATCCGTTTGAGAACACCGAGCAATTCTCCTCCTTTGCACAAGTCCAGCACGAAATATAGCGACTGCTCATCCTGGAAGGTGTAATATAGCCGGACAATACCCGGGTGGTCGGTCAGGCGGTTGAGTGTATCCTTCTCAATGTTCACGTATTTAACCTTTCTCTCCTTGATAATGTGTCGTTTGTCAAGGATCTTAATCGCGTATTCCTTCAAAGTTTGTCGATCCGTTGCAAAGACGACCGTACTGTAGGAGCCTTCACCGAGAGTATTCCCAAACGAAAAGTCTCGAACGCCCTTCTTGATATAACGAGACACAGTTTGGCCGTTGGCGTCGACCTCCTGTCTGACAGAGACCGCGGCGCCACGGTCTTGCCAATCCTCACTACTCGCCATTGGGCCGTTTTCTGCCATATAGGACGTTCGGGGCATCTGAGACGCGCCGCCACTTCTTGCTTGTGCTCGAGAGGACTGACGCATCACCGCCGGGCCGTTGCCCGGGATCTGCGCGGTCCGGTAAGATCGGTCGCTGTGGGAGTTGTCGCGGGCCAGAACACCGGCATGTAACGCCGACGATCCTCCTCGTGTGTCTAACCGCGCCTGAGACCCAGATTGGGATGAAGCACCGGAATCAGTTCGAATTCGATATGCGTTATCACGAGGGAGGATCGACGTTGCTGAGCCATTCAAGTATACCGAGGAAAGGGGTCGGTTGGGATTCGGAGGTGTTGAGAGGGGTGGAGCCGAGTACGCCTGGTATGTGCCTGATTGCAATGGTGATACCTCGGGGGAGGCTTGAGGGAATGAAGGCTGACGATCGTCTGTCACGGGGACTTCGATGGGTGCAGGAGGAAAGGTAGAGGGGTGTTCGTCATGTGCGGGATTGTGTTGTGTTGATACCGAACCGTCCGGCCGTCCGAACGGGCTGGAGCCTGTTGACCCAGCGGTCGCATCCTCCGTTGGAAGAGGCGAATCGTCTGGATTGGCTATCCGAAGCCCTCCCAGAGTCTGGGACAGGCTGAGATCCCCGTTCATGGCGGATTTTGTGATTTGGCCGCGACCGGATATGTGCCGGAGGGCTTAAGGGGAAGGAAGGTCGAGAGGTTAACGAAAGAGAGGCTATCGGAAATGCAGCGGATGCATGATCCGAGGAGGAGTTGGGGAAAAGAGAGAGGTAGGTGTGTGAAGGAGAGTCGACGTTGGAGAGAGGGGGGGAAGGATCAACAGGAGGCTCCGTAGAAATTGGGTCTAGTGTCGAGTAGCTGAGCCGACTATTAATATTTCCTCCAGCACTTTTCCTGGATAATTAGAAAGAGGGAGAGACTCAGAGTACGAAAAGACATATATGTAGGTTATTTTAATCCTTTTGGGTGGTAAGATGGAATGGATATGTCTGATTTGTCCAGTTTCGAGTGGACAAGGATAGATGGGATAGATTTACACTATTTTATATTGAACGGATTTACTGATTTACTGATTTACTGAGTTACTGAGTTACTGATCTCCAGCATTTACTATTTAATAGAGACCAGGTATCATTCGATATTCGAAATATGATCTCGTCTACATATCCTGGTCGAGGTTTCTTAAATTGTGAAGATACGCGACTTCCTCTGAGACATGATGTTTCTATATACGGGACCTCCAGGACTCTCTGTGCAACTGAGAATAATCCATCCCTGGGAACATGATCAGACGGCCCCCAACCATCATTGCCCTGGAGGAAAATGATGTTGAATCTCACCTCCAGCGGATCTATATCCGTCATACTCTGACTGTCGAATTCGAGCAGCTACACCTAGACGAAGAGAGCTGCGATGAAACGATGGACCCATCTCCCAGCTCCTGTGTCTCTTCGGAATCTGATGTGGGACTTAATACCACAAGCCTGAGTCAAGAAGGATCCCCATGTTTTGAGCCTCTTTCTCCAAGAGACAGGAGCTATGCTTCTACAGATGCAATTCTACACACGACAGTGACAAAGTCCTGTCTCAAATCCCCAATCCCAACCCAACAGTCCTCACTACAGTTGACAATCTCCACTGGAATACACTCGCAAGCAGACCGGTCTGTTGACCCACCGCGACTGAAGGTGAAATTTGCTCTTTCGCCGCAGGAACTTGAACCCCATAGCGGCAAGGCCCCTCTTGAAGAAGAAACAGGTATGTCAAACCCCCAAAATCGAAATATCGGCTCCATCTAACAGTTCAATTCCCCAGCAGATCGAGATCGTCGCGGGGAAAACCACTGGCCAAGCCATACAGATGTTATATATACGCCCATGTCTATTGACTCGCCAGCTTCGACGCCGCAGGTTTCATTCTTGTCGTGTGGTGTGTCGTCAAGTCCGGCCACCGCAAGCGTCCCACACCGGGACCTAACCCTAGCGTCCACTATGTCTTACGAGGAAGTCTTGGCCGAGGGGGCAGTCTCGCCTGCTAGCGCGGTCAATGGCGTTGGCGACTCTCACAACAAAATCGTCATTTAGGAGCGATATCAAGATATCGTGGATGCTTGAAAATGGTAGCTTTATTCCAGCGGTTTGGCCTCTTCGAGTCCACCATGAGCTGTCCCAGCAGGGGGGGTTATTTTCACCAGTGGCTTTTCGAAAGGTATTGACCCAGTCGACCCTAATTTTGTATATTTATGGTGTGATGTTTCTCGCCCCAAGACCCCCCCATGATCGACCCTACGGGGAATGGAAGTATGCAATAATATTTAATTTTCAGTATGAGATATTGAACCAACCTCACGCATAAGCAGTTCCAGACCAACATACCACAAGAAATATTAAAAATAACCCCTCGAAGCATTGGTCCAGACTACAATGTCTCACGTTAAAATGCAGAAAGAATCTAGAATGTCAGCAAAGAATTCATATCTGAAACAACGATATCGACAACCCAAATCTATCAATAGTTCAGTGGAGAAGAACCACAAACTTGGCTGCCTCCAGATCTGACGCGGCCCCGGCAGTGCCTTTTCGCCATTGACACATCTCACTGTGAAGATGCTGAAACCCGCGGCCTACGTCACTCTGCATTGCTCACATGGCTTACTCGGACTTTTCTTTTTTCTTTTGCTTGCATTGCATACCTTGCATACCGTTGATATGGTATACGTTCGATCCTCGATACAACTGGCTCACGTTTGACCCGCGTTCTCTGTGCGGATCCACTACGCCACCGCGTAGAATAACCTTGAATGTCTTGTTTTCCGGAAATTTTTCCGTGTGTGGTTGATTGTGCCGAGACGGCGTTTGCCGGTAGATTGATCATGTTAAATCCAGGGGTCTGTAATCCAGGGGGCTTTGGATAGACATGGTTCACATAGAGAGGCTCTTGCGGTGTGTGTGGGCTAGTGATTGTCTGGTTGGTGATCTGCGTTGTGGCGAGTGTAACTCGAGGGGGGCCGATAGTATTGGTGGGGTGTCAAGGTTGGATGGCGTCCATACAGGGTGAGATCTACTTGGTTTGGATATTTCCAAGGTTGTTCTTCGAATGTCTTGACTGGGTTTTTAGAATTTCCGGCGTGGAGCCTGAGGCTGCGTGACCCGGATCACGTGAAACAAATCACGATTTTGGTCTGAGCAAGCGTGTACAACATACATTTTACTGGGGAAAAGGGAGAGGTTCATCGGTCAACTGAATGAATTAAAAATGAGCAATCGCACATATCAAGGCAGTCTAATAAAGTGTATCAAAAGCAAGTCCCGGCTCTTGGCTAATGGAAGAGGGAATAGGTAGATGATAAGGTGAAGAGGGTTGGGTGGTGTTAAGTAACAAGATGAAACGCCAACAAAGATCGATCGTCTTCCAGATGCCGCTTCAAATGCTCTCACGTGTATAGTTTTTCCATGATGGTATGAGCTCGTTTCAATTGTATCAAAAAAATGGAGGAAAAAAAAAAAGAACCTTTCACTTCTGACAAGAATGGTGGGATAAGTTAAAAAGAAATAAAGGGGAATTATCTACTACTTCTTGGCGAAAGCCTGGGCACCGTCGACCAAGCGACGCTCGGTGTTCTGGCGACCGTTGACGAAGTCAGGGTAGTTGAGGGTCAACTCAACGGCACCGTTGATAATGTTGTCAACAGCTTCGACACCAAGCATGAAGGAGTGGTCCTGGTTGCCGACCTCGTAGCGCCAGCTACCGAAGCGGCCACGGGACCAGATACCCTTCTCCTGGAGCTTGGGGAGAATCTGGGTGAGGGCACCCTCACGCTCCAGGCTGGGGGTGGGGTAACCGTGGTCGAAGCGCCGGTGGTAGGTGGAGACAATCTCATCACCGGGCTGGAGCATCTCGGTGTTGACAAGACCCTGGATGGACTCGGCAAGGAGGGTCTCGTTGTTGACGGGTTTCATAGAAGATTCGGAAACCTCCAACATGACGGACCAGTAGGGACCGTCCTGAGCCTCGGTGCTCTTAGGCTTGGAGCCGTCAGCGAGCTGAAGGGTGGGCAGCTTCTTGGAGGCCTCGGGCTGGTTGTGGGGGGAGTAGTTGGAGAAGATGGTGGCACGGTAGAATGGGCAGTCATCCTCGGGGAAGTACAGCCAGCACTTGTCGCCGATGCGGTCGGGACGGGCGCCACGGATACCAACACCGATAACGTGGGTGGAGGAGTAGAAGAGCTGCTTGGTGAGGGGCATAAGCTCAGTGTCGTTCATAGCCTCGGCGAGGTAGTCGACGGCCATGGTGGAGACCAGCTTTCCGTAACCAATGGTGGTACCATCGGCGAGGGTGACAGTCTTGTTGTAGGCGTTGACCTTCTCAACCTTGTTGTTGGGGCCATAGCGGGTGTTCTCCTTGGGGATAGTGTTGGCAACAGCAATCCAGATACCACCAGTACCATCGCGGGCGGGGAAACGGAAGGTAGCGTTGGGACCCCAGTTACCGGCGGTCTTGTTGAGGATAACGTTGGTGGTCACGGCCTTGACGTTGGGGGCAGCGACACGCTCACCGAGCCAAGCGCATTGCATCTAGACATAACGGATCAGCATTGGTTCATTTTCCGCCGCCGCCGGGGGGGGGGGGGGCGAGTCAAACTTACCTTGGTGGTGGGAACGGCCCAGACCTTGTAATTGTAGGGTCTCATGAAGAGGTCGGCAATACCAGTACCCATCATGCGGACGATCCACTCATCGAAATCCTTGGGCTTGGTGTTGGAGACACGGGCCTCGAGAGCAGCATCAATCATGCCGTCAATGCACTTCACCTGCTCCTCCTTGGGCAGCATGGAGATGTTGTTTTGGAAGGGGTAGGGAACCCATTGCTCCTGGCAGCGAACGTAGGAGATACGCTCGTGGGTGTACCAATCCTCCTCCTTGGGGAGGGCCTCGTTAATGCAGTCGTCGAAGTACTTGTAGTGGGAGAAGATAACGTGACCGCCGACATCGTACAGCTGTGAACCAAGTTAGCGGTGTGGAAATTGACAATTGAGACCAAGTCGCAACTTACGAAACCTTCGGGGGTAACATCAGTGGAAGCCAAACCACCGGGGGTCTCGTTTGAGTCGATAATCATCCAAGAGGGGCCATTCTGTATACTCAATTAGTTTTCTTTATTCCCGGATACCCCTCCCCCTTTTTTGTTTACATGCGCCCCTCCTCGACATAGTAAACATTCTGGGAAAGATAGACTTACAATCTGGTTCAAACGCTTGGCGGCACCCAAACCAGTTGGGCCAGCACCAATGACGAGAACGTCAACAGAACTGTGAACCAATTGTTAGAGATGATGGATATTTGGATAGTTGAGTTAGTGCTTACATATCGGGGTGGGTCATTCTGCCTTGTAGGAGGTCCTGAAAGCTGGGGACTCGTTTGAATGTCTTGCGGGCGACGTTCAGCATAGAAGCACAGCTGCAGGAATCTGCAGAATATTAAGAGGGGAATGGAGGGATAATAAAGGGCAAGGAAGCGGAGGAACCAAAGAAGAAGGGGAAGTGGGAGGACAACGTGACCAGCCAAGCTAAGGGTATCTAGACGCACCTGGTTCTGTGGGTTAAACGGATCCGGTGGGGACGACGTGCCTGTTTCAGGTTTCCTGATTCGTATTGATATTGGTTTATTTTGGTTTATTTTGGTTTATTTTATTGGGCTTTGATTTGGATTTAATTTCCTTTTTTTTTCCTTTTGATTTATTTTCTTTCTCAAACTATCTCCGGAGTATGTACTCCGTACAAACCAGGTCCTCCTATCACATTGACAAGCTCAATTGTAATCACAATTAATGTACTCAGGGGGAGGCAGTGCTTCAGAGCTCAATCTTAAGAGAGCACTCTGTGGTTCTTTGTATGGACTACGGAGTAAAAGAACGCGTAAGGCAGTCTCATCTCATCACACCGTAATCCTAGTCAAAACTTAACATATCACATTCAAGTGCAAAGCCGTTATTGGGTTTGAGCTTATCATGATACCTCCAAAAGCAGGGACCTCGAGTGCATAAGGTGTGCATTCACCTTTCGCATGCGGGTAAGTTGATATTAGAATTCCCTTGGCGGGTATTGGATAACATTCAGGGTCTCCCCCTCTAGAATGCCCGTTATCATATCAATCCCAATCTCGGAACATTATTCTAGAAGAATAATAAAAAAAGACCCTTGGAAAATAGGAAAAAAAAAGGGGCGATATGGATAGGGGCAACCATTGAATCTCGATCCAATGTGGTCAGGCTAAAAACGCCACCGATGTAGGCATTGGTACATTGTTGGCTATGGTTAAATTAGTACGCAATGGTGTCTCGGTAGTTTGTATGGACCTCTACCAAAGGTGGTTTTGGCACAAATGAGGCTAATTTGTACTCATTAGAGATGATGATTCAAGTTTCATCTACATCGACTTTCCCCCATGTATACATCGTCGTTGTACGATGTATACCACTTGTGCATCGGACATACAGTGTACATATGTATCATATGCGTTATATAGCTAGTTTAATAGGACAGCCTCAAAGAGAAACACCTTGAATCCTACCGGAGCAACATCCTGAGAGTTGATCGTCTCATCTGGCGGTCTCAAGGAAAGAACGGGATTTACGAAACTTCAGTGCATTGGCATCTGGTTCCACTGATTGTCACTCCCAAGAGAGTAATACAGCGAGGATCTCTTCGCACAAACAACCGATCTTGCCATTGATCGCCCCCCCTCCCCTCCCCCCTTTGAGAGAAAAACTTCTCGAATGGTAAGAGAACACCCACCAATTGTCTATTGCCTCTTGAAACACCAACTCCGGTTAACACCAAAAGCTTAGGGGTCTTCTCCCCCACCACTGGTCCAAGCACATTGTACTTGTGGGGGGCCTGGAAGTCCCCTGATTGCGTCAGGCATAGCCTTCAGACGGATCGCCGCATTCTCCACCCGTAAGGGACCGGATGGACCAGAGGGTCACTGAACGCGGGTTCTGGTGGGTCTTGGCTAACAACTGCTTGCGTAATGCTCTACTATTAATTTGGATCTGCGCTGTTTCAGTCTTCTATTTCAAACCAGTTGGCTTAGAACATTCTGATAATGCAGATGTTTTCGTCAATATCAGACATACCTAGATAAGATATATATATATGTGTTAGTATTGGGATATGATTGAAATTAAGGATAAGAGTGTTGATCAGAGACAGTGGATCCATGACCAGGTTGATGTTATTGGTGAATAAGGCAAAAAGGGGAGACTGTCGCCACGAGCAAACCCATGGACGTTTTGGCCAGAAGGCCTCTCAAATTAAAATTAAGTGCTAGTAAAGTAAAATGGTATTGGTTCTGGTATAACTGGTATATAAACGAAAACCACTACGTAAGGGAACAGACAAAATAATAGAGAGTATGCGAAGAGTACAGGTGGCCTTTTAGTAAGAGATGTACCAAGCGTAACGGTAATTCACATACTAAAATTTCCGGACATTCAAACATACAGCCTCTCTCTTCTCACTTTCTGTTTGCGGCGAGTGGATCTATTCTTTACATACTCCGTACTGCTGTTCCTGTTCCTGTGCTGTTTTGGTGTTTGGCTTTTGGTCTATTTTCATTTACGTTCAACTGCTTTTTCTTCTCTTAATTTCCCTTTGAAATCCCCAAATTTGAAGTTAATGTTTGGTGCCGAAAAAAAAAAATATTACTGCCGAAGTACGTACCCCATTCCATCCCTTCAACCTTCATCATCATTTCTTCATCCAAGCTCGTTTTGATTTATCGCTATTCTCTTTTGGGTCCTGTCACACTCGTTAACCTCCGGAGCATTTTAGTGATCCTTTCCTTATAATTTCACCTTCCTTATCCACCTTTCTCCGTGGCTTCCTCCGCATTTAGTCAAGGAAGCCTATCCCGGCCACGCCCTTTTGAATTTAAGCGCTTTTTATCCGATCAATCTCGAACTTTTACAATGAGCGACGGCGAGAAGGTCCGCGCCTCTGGCGAGACTCCCCGGGAACAGTCTCTGCCTACTGTCAACCCCGCAGCGGAGAAGACAGAGCAGCCCAGTATTACATTCCACCCCGCGGTCTATGTGACGTGAGCAACATCGAAGGGAACAGACAGATCGAACAGAATTGCTGATATCTTGATAGTACATGGATCACCTTGAGTTCCACTGTTATCCTGTTCAACAAGTACCTCCTCGACTATGCTAACTTCCGTAAGTCAGATTGGAGATAAAATGCGAGGAAACCGGCACTAACACACCCTTGGATAGGCTTCCCTATCATTCTCACAACATGGCACTTGTCTTTCGCTACCATCATGACCCAAATCCTCGCTCGCACCACTACTATCCTCGATGGCCGCAAGAAGGTCAAGATGACCGGCCGTGTCTACCTCCGCGCTATTGTCCCCATCGGTATAATGTTCAGTCTGAGCTTGATTTGCGGTAACATGACCTACCTCTACCTCAGCGTTGCCTTTATCCAAATGCTCAAGGCCACCACTCCTGTGGCTGTTCTCCTCGCAACCTGGGGTATGGGTATGGCTCCGGCCAACATGAAGGTTCTGGCCAACGTCTCCATCATTGTGATTGGTGTGGTCATTGCCTCTTTCGGTGAGATCAAATTCAACATGGTCGGTTTTCTGTTCCAGATCGGTGGTATTGTTTTCGAGGCTACCCGTCTGGTCATGGTGCAAGGTCTGCTCAGCTCCGCCGATTTCAAGATGGACCCTATGGTTTCTCTGTACTACTTCGCTCCCATCTGTGCTGTCATGAACGGCGTTGTCGCTCTGTTCTTGGAATTCCCCCACGTCACCATGGACCATGTTTACTCGGTTGGTATCTGGCTTCTGGTTCTCAATGCCGTTGTGGCTTTCCTCCTCAACGTCTCCGTCGTTTTCCTGGTAAGTAATATTTAGAATTCTGGATCTCAATCCCAAGAGAAGCACTATTAACACACTCTACAGATTGGCAAGACCTCTTCCCTCGTCATGACTCTGTGTGGTGTCCTAAAGGATATTCTGTTGGTCGCTGCTTCCATGTTCCTCTGGCAGACTCCCGTCACTGGGCTCCAGTTCTTCGGTTACTCCATTGCTTTGATGGGTCTTGTCTGGTACAAGCTTGGCGGCGACAAGATGCGCGAGTACACTTCCTCCGCCGGCCGTGCCTGGGCTGAGTATGGCAACAACCGCCCTGCGCAGCGCAAGTTTGTCGTCTTCGGTGCTGCCGCTCTTATGTTCTTCCTCTTTGTTGGCTCCATGGCTCCCAGTTACGCCAATGACTCTGTAGACCGTGTCAAGGGCTACCTTGGTGGTGCCACTGCTGGCAACGCTTAAATGCACTTGTCAGACCCTTAGCCTTTCGCCTTTTATACATTGGAACACAGAAATTTTCGGCCCAATGTTCAGCGCCACAATAACCACTCTCCGATTCGGTGGGCCGGAATGAGAGCACGAGTGGATAAGTGCAAGCATGTGGCGGCCTCCGTTCCTTTCCGTCTCTCGGTAACGCACAGAGACTGCCCCTTATGCTTTCTGTCTTTATGGGGCCCTACGATGCAATGGAAAACGAAGGGCCTCGTTTTTTTTTTGGCTGTTTTATTACCAATCTTTTTTTTTCAGCTACATTTTTGTGATGTATACAGTGACATGAAAATGTTGTTGCTGGCGGTGTACTTTTTTTTTCTACGAACATTGATTGATATTAGACTTGCAATTGAGCTCTGGTGTCGGTTTGCTTTGGACCTGTTCTTGTGGTCTCTTATGTTTTTTTTCACCATTCGTGCCTCCATAGTATCCCAATAGACTTGAAACTGATATTGTAATCCTTCCAGGAACTTACTCCGCTGCACCTAAGTGATTACATAAGAGCATTTAACCACTCGGCCAAAAGATCATAGAGACAATCGGAACCCCCGATTGTGACTGCAGCGGTATATATACTAGGCCCCAGACTCCGCTAGGGACCACAATATGACCTCATCCAATCCACGTGATCTGCTCTATATGCACGTGATCTATAAGTTTCACGTGATGTTATTCACGTGATGTGATTCTCACGGGCCACACCATCCACCTCATAGGCCAATTGTGGCTTGGCGAGACCCATCCAACTTGACTCCACCTGAGGTGTCTTGGCCACATGAGCCAATGGTACCCGCTAATAGCGCATGTATCAATACTGTTACGGTCGATCGGATAGCCGCTTTTTGGTGGTATATTACCGTTTGACTTGGTACCTCCGCATTTCGCGCATCGATTCATCCACTTCTTCAGATCGCTCTTTCCTGTCTCACGCTCTTACCCTTCCTCTTACTTCGCTCTACTTTGTTTCTTTTCCCCCATTTTTCTCTTTTTCCTCATTTCTCTCCTCTCAATTCTTTCTCTTTTCCTTCAATCCCACCTTTCTCCCTCTTTCTATATATTCTTCTTATTCTTTTGCCGAGACATCTTCCACCCTCTACCTCTCGGTCTTACTTCTGTCTCTCCACAGGTGGTTGAAGCTTTGTGTCCTGCTCACTTAATCTAACAGAACAGCCCT